ACCTGGAGAGGCCGGGCCGGCCTGGGCAGGGCATGGGGGTGAATTAGGTGTATAGGGATGTGAATGGGGCCTGGCATACAGCTGTGGCCGGGAGCAGGACAACAGCGAAGGTGGGCAGACACCAGGCTCCCATGTGGAATCTCTGCTCCTTCCCCATGCCCGGGTCTCCCTTGGGAACCTGTGATCATGGGGCTCAATGAGAAAACAAGAAAGAAAAGAGCCCCGACTTCCCTTTTTTGTCATAGTTAATCCTTACAGGAGCCCTGTGTGGGAGCTAAATTGTTAAATTCTGCAGGCTAGGCTTGAATTTGCAATCCTCCTGCCTTAGCCCACCAGAGTGCTGGGATTACAGGTCTGTGCCCCAGGCTGGTGTTTCACACCCCGTACACACTTTGAGACGGTTTAGCTACGTAGTTCACACTGGTCTTAAACTCACTGTGTGGCTCAGGCTGGCCTTGAACTCACAGTAAGTCCACTTCCACCTCCTGAGTGTTGGGATTGAGGGTGTGCGCCACCACACCTGGCCATTGTCCCCTTTTCTACAGATGAGAAAACTGAGCTCTGAGGAGATAAATAAGGGTTCAGGTCTCACTCCCAAGTCTCCAGATCTCCCAGTAATTAGTGAGAATATATGAAGTTAAATGCTAATAACTTAGCACTTAATTACACATTGTTTGACGGTGTATTGTATAAATTTAATGCTAATTGCAGGATTTCAGAATGAACTGTAGGGAGTGGGGGTGAGTATGGCAAGGGAGTGCTTCATGGAGATTCTGGGACTGAGCCGGCCTCGGAGAATCTTGAGTGGGGGCTGGAGGGGCAGGGGTAGATTTCTGGAAGGAGAATCGAATGTTTAACAAATCAAGTTAGGAGTAAGCACTGGGCTTATGGAGAGGAATGGGCTGAGACTGTTATTTCAGTTAAGGAATTCTGTAAATGTCCAGGTCACTAGTGATCACTGAGAACTCTGTAAGTACTAGGTGCTTTGCTAAGTCCTTTCAACTGTCATTGCACCCAGTCTGCAGTTAACCTTGCCTTAAGTCTCTTTTCTGTTCCTAGAACAGAGTACCCGAGAGTAGGTAATTTATAAAGAAGAGAAGTTCCTAATGGTTCTGAAGGCTGGGAAGTCCCAGGACACAGAGCAGCATCTGGCCAAAAACACCCAGACTCTGTGGAAAGCGGAAAGGCAAGCAAACACATGCAAAGGAGAGACCGAACAGCAGGGCAGCCACGCTTCCTAGCAACCCACTCTCATGTTAACTCACCCAGTCCGCTGAGAATGTACTTACTTGTTCCTGCAAGAATTAGCCTGGTCTCTGGAGAGCCATACCAGTCCCTTCCTGAAGGTGGAGCCCTGCCTGCCTGCCTGAGCACCTCATCATCCATATAGAGCTCTCGACACTTGCCTCACCCCAGTTCCACAGATAAACCAAGTGGCAGGATTGTGAGTTGGAGCCAGGCCGGTCGCCAGAGCTCGGGCACTTCCCAGCTCGAGCTCAGAGACCATAGGATGGTGGCAGTGGTGTCACGCAGGGTGGGGAGGAAGTTGGCCAGCCTTGGGCCTGGCTCCTGGAGGCCATCCCTGGGTGCTTCCTGGAGCTCATTAGAGTTGTGCCCTCAGGCCCTCCGTAGTCCTCAGGTCTCACTGGGGTGTCTCCCTCCTGCCTCCCGGAGCAGGAGAATGGTATGATTCCCTGGAGGCTTTGCGTGAAAGCCCAAGACAGCCCTGCACAAGCTTAGATCTCTTTGAAGTCCATGTTTCTTCTAAAAAGTGCCATCGGATGTTTTATTCCATACCATAGTGTATCAGCGGTCATTTTGCTATTTCAGAATGGTCAGGCGATCGCCATGGGGTCACGTCTGTGTTCCAGCACGATGTGCGGATGGATTTCCTTGTAATCGCAAATGGGGCAATAATGACCACTTCACGAGCTGCTGTGAAGATCAAAGTGATGTATCTGGAAATGCTGCATGCATAAGTTGTTCACCAAATATGGTGCTGTTATTCTAGATGGAACCAAGAGCCCCCCCCCCGCCCCCAGCTAGCGTCCTGCAAGCCCACTCACAGGGAGGTAGGGCTTCGTCCTTGAGGCATCTCAGGAGGCCGAGAAGTAGGAGAATAGCCATGGCTATTGCTAGTTTGTTTTTTGAAAGTTGTTTGTAGTTTCATAAAAGCACCCTCTCTTATTACCGTTCACATCTGAATTGGCCAAGTTAGCGTGCAAGAAACTCCAGTAAAACTGAGAGGTTTCAGGGGCAGTGCGCACTTAACTCAGAGATACGTGCTTGTCTAACGTGCAAGGACCTGCATTCCATCCCCTCCACTGCAAAAGTAATGGATGGAGAGACGCTGAGCATCCACAGGTGACAGCAGAGGGGAAGGACAACCAGAGAAGGCACAAGCAGGAAGCGGTGCAGGAAGGGGCTCAGTGCTGCAGAGCCCAGGAGGAGCACACGTTGGTGGGGCTGAGCAGCTCCTGTGGCCTGAGCACCTGACAAGAATGGAGAGCACATGGCAGTTACACGGATGCTCCGTAGGGTTAGGATGGAGACCACATCCCAGTAAGCCCATTGTAGCTTGAAAACATGGTAAAGCGAAAATGTACTTGACGCACCTAATCCACCGCTCCTGAAGCAGGCCTGCCTCCCATGTGCGTGCCCAGAACTCACCTTCACCTACCATTGGGAAAAGTCATCTAGAAGCCCATTTTATAATCAAGTGTTGAATAGCTCTTGGGACTCACTGACTATTGAACTGGGAGTGGAAAACGGAATGGGTGTGTCATCAAGTTGAACCACTGTACTTGGGGGCCATTTGTATTTGGTTAAGGTGGCCCTGGGCCACCCTTGGGTAGGGATCTAGTAGAAAATAAGGTTTAAAACCAGATTGGGGAAATTAAGGAAAGAACAATGGCAATGCTTTGCCTTCCTTTCCTTTCCTTCTTTTCTTCTCTCCATGACAACGACCATTAGGAGTTCCCGGTGAATAACATTTCTGTTGAGTAAGTCCTGTTGCCATCTGAGGTTACCTCTGGAATGTTCTGTGACTCTTGACCAGTACTGAGTTGATAATGTATCTTTAATCCATTCCTTGGCAAAAGTTATTTAAGAAATAGCAAATTACAAAGCATCATTAACAGTACGATCTCATCTTTGTTTACAAGAACGAGTGTGTATCTGTGTGCACACCTGTGTCTGGGTGTACTGTGAACATAGAAAGCATCTCGGCTTTCTCAGAGAGGTGGTGTCAGTGTGTGCCTGTCACCTGTACATTCATCATCCCGCCATAAAGCTGTAATAAATGATAACAGGCGTTGTCTCGGATGGTGTGTTACTTGGGATTTATTTGGCTGTAGAGGACAGAACCTCAGCTGAAGCTTCTAGAGCGACAAATGAATTTTCCAGAGACTTCTTCAGCCCTGAGTGGATCCAGAGACTCGATGATATCATTGGGAACCTGTGTCTCGTTTCTCCCCATCCTTCTCTGTCTCCCTCCCTATCTCTTTCTGTATTAGAGATTGAACCAGGGGAGCACTGAATTATACCCCCTTTTTTTCTGTTGTTTATTTATTTATTTATTTATTTATTTCTTTTTGGTACCGGGGATTGAACTCGGGTCCTTGCGCTTGCAAGGCAGGCCACCGAACCGCTGAGCTAAATCCCGGCTTTTTTTTTTTTTTTTTTTTTTTTTTTTTTTTTTTTGTCCGTGTCTCTC